TGTATTTTAGTGGCGCCACCGATGCCCTCGTGGGACCTTTGACATACATGGTTACCCAATCTCCTTCTTCGTACCCCCCCCTTTCTCCTTCCCCCTAAATTCCTCCTTGCCTTCTGCTGCTTGGGAAAACTGTGAGAAAGATTCTGTAGTTGCGAAGCAGTTGTGAAGATCTAATTTCCCCACAAGCTGCTTGTAATATCCTGTTTGGCTTGGGCCAAAAGGAAGTGCAAATACTCATAAGGACATTATATATTTATGTGTAAGGAAGCGTGCGAGTGTGTGTGTGTGTTTTCTCCTTTGACACTTTGAAACAATTTAGCTATTTCATATTTGCTGACATCATCTAGTTGTAATGCAAAAAGCCAACTTCCCTCATCAGGACTCGGGAGTTCGTCCTTTGGGGTTGGGGGCGTGGCATTTGTTTGGGGGTGGTTTCCGTCACTCGTGCTCTCCCTTTCGCACTCAACTATTGACGCCGTTGACGTCGACAGTTACATTGATTTATGGCCCCGCCTGGACCTCTTTTTTTTCGGTCCTACGATAACTGAAATCTTATCCATCAGGCTGGTTTTCCCTCCCAACGCCAGGGCTTTTCCTCTAATGAATATCATTTGAGGACAATTAGTTAATTGAGTAGCTTATCCTGGCTTATCCTTTTTTCTTGTTTTCCTCCGTTTTTTCTAGGTGCGTATGTCTTATCATCTGAACTTCTACCTCTTCTCGGGTAGCTTTTCAGTCCACTTTTCTCGCCAACTGACCGATCCCGTTTTCCCCTGTTTTTCACTCCCAGGAGCATGGGGAAAATGGCCGTCGATTGCGGTAAATGCAGCACTTCCGATGCCTGCTGATGGGTTAAGGAAAAGGACGAGGGAAAAGGGGGCGAAACGTGTGTAATGAATTATTACCCTCTGATAAAAGTGCACCACGAGCGGTTGTTTTTTCTGGGTGGATTTCCGCTTTCTGACTGCCGTTTGTCGAACGTTAAAAGCCAGTTTTCAAATGGTTATAAAAACATTAAAGTTTGCCTAGTTTGGAATGAATTGCAGTTGTAAGGCCTATATGTACATTAGAAATTTCAATTGTTTGAAATACCATTACAATTTTACTCTATATTTATACAATATTTTTATTTCCAATTACCTGTCTTTGCCTGCCTGCGTAGAGAGAGTACAACATAGGTGCTTAGTATGCATTGATTACATTTTAATGGAAAAGCTAAAAACTAACTAATATAAAGAAACATTATTATATGAGTAAAGTTTGTAATCTTCAACAGGAAAGCCATACTAATGTCCTTAAAATATCACAAGTCGCCTCTCGGATCCTTTTAGTCCACACATCTTCCGTTTCGGATCGCTTAACAAGCCAACCTCTGTGTTCGGACCATCTACTCTGCCTTCCATTTGCTAATCACTTGCAACATTCACCGCTCCGGGGTCTAGACAAACACTTCAATTAGAAAAGGCCGCTCTTCCCCGTTCTCCGTCCCCTCGAAAACCCCACTCACAATCCTGCCCGACGGCTCTGTGCGCTCACAAATGAATTCATTTTGTTTCGGATTCGATGAATCAGTTGGCAACTTTTTTGCCATTGCCTGGCCTCCACGAAATTGGGGGCGTGGCTGTAGCTAAAAAAACAAAAGAGGGCGGCAGACGATTTGCGGATGTTAAATAAAAATGTGAAATGAACAAAACTCAAAACGCAACAAAAGCATCAAAAACAAATGGACAAACGATGCTGCACCTTTCTAGATGAAGCTGCAGTTGCGGATGGATGATGATGAGCACTGGAAAAATTTACTTCTTAAAATCGAAGAGTTTCTTTTAGATTAATACACGTTTTTAAAAATAAAATACCATTCTCTAATAATATGCATTCGAATTTTCGTATGCATTTGCTTAGTTCTTTTTTTTATAATTGCGAAAATATGGGGAAAAAAATAGTAATCAATAAGAAGGCTATGACTAAGGTCCAATACAATTAAAATTTTGTATATGTATATTCCATAATTTGTGAATATAACAATAATTTGAAATCTAAAACAATTTCTTTAAGTGCAGGAGTAACCGGCTGAGCTAGCTGCTTGGGATTAAGTTGTGAATCGTGATCTCGGCGAGCACTGGGCAAGTGGATGGGACTGAGCTTCACCCGAAGACTTCCAGCTGCAGTTGCAGATGGAGTTGAAGTTGAAGTTGAAGTTGGAGTGGGAGTCGAAGCTTCGGAGCTTCGCACTGAGTCCGAAGAGCCTTGGAGTCTGGGGCTTGCCCTGCCCGCGGTGATTAATCCACGGACCCCTCCTCGACCGACAGACTCTCCATGGAGGTGGAAGATGCGCGGCTTCAGATACTTTCGGGGTTAAGATGGCTGTGGACTCCGAGCAGCTGGCCCTGGCTTTGGCGATATTTAACCCGTGATTACAATGTTTGTAAATTTGTTCCCTGCCTCGGCCTGGCTCTTCTTGAAGAGTTCGGTGTTATTTCGTTGTTGTTTTTCTACTCTGGGTTCACCTTGCGGGCCAATTTGTTCGAGGGACTGCTGAGAGTCTGGCAAAATGAAGCTAAATTGCTGCAACAGGCGGAGTGGAGAGCTGGGCTTATGCTCCTGGTAGTTGAGCAATTTATTATTGCCGCAAATTGATTTTTATCTACGCTTAATCGATTGTTCCTAGGAGTGACTGCGAAATGTGCAGGAGTGGGCTCAGCGAAAATTATTTATGTTAGTTCACACGTTGTTTTACACGTAATTTATTAACCCGCTTTTCTAGTGCAAACTCTCTGACCTTGGGGGCAGTGTTGGAAAATCGGTTTTCCGCCCGTCTTTGGTGTGAAGGTGATTTACAATTTATTCCGCCCCCTCTGCACCTCCGCCCCTTCTGCCCCAACGCCCCCTTCGACGGCCATGCATGATGCGATAATTTGCGCCAGTCTGGAGCTGGCCAAAAAGATATTTATGACAGAGAAATGAGCGCCAATTGCTGCAATTACCAGCGCGTGTTTGGCCGGCGGCAATGGCAGGCCCAAACGAGTTTAGATTTAGTTAGATAGATTTTGTGTGGAGACAGGAATCTATTCGGTGGATTGGGGACTCTGGCTTACAGTGGTAAATCGAGCTAATTTGTTGAGAATTCAAGCAGTTCGCTAGGAGAAATTCTTTTGAAAAAGCCTTTCAGGAAGCGTTTAAAAACAGTTAGTAATTCATGTGCTAATTATTATGTATTAACAATAAGACAAATTATGGTAAGCCTTTAGATTCATTCATTATAATAATATACCAGTAGGAATCCTCAATTTGATTTTAAACATTTCTGTAATCATTAGGAATAATATTAATCAGCATATGAATCCAATCTCCCTCTCCCTCTCCAATCTCAATTTCAACTTTTTCGTATTATAATTTTGTATTAAAAATGTAGCCTTTGACAATCTCAAAGTCAGCTAACAAATCGATACATTTTCAATATCCGCAATTGTAACATGTAAATGCGTTGAGGGGGGAATGTAAATTCAGGGGACATGTGGAAAAGCGGAGGAACCGCAGAAAAGCCAGACCGCATCGTTGTGTTTTATATATTAATTTGCGAACAATCGAAAATCGACATGTGACACGCGTTCGCTGGCCCCCCGTTTTCCCCTTTTCCCCTTTTTCCCCGTCCCTGTCTCATTTTTGTGTTTTTTAAATTTATGCGTTACGAATTGCATTTGCAATTTTTTCTCCCTGCTTTTTATTGTTGTTTGCGGCTGCTCTTGTTGTAAATGCAACATCGATGAATGCGAAATGAGGGAAGCCGGAGGAAGCGAGAGGCAGATATCCGATCGAGAGAGAGGGAAGACACCTTCCCTCCGTTTGTCGCAAATAATAATAATAATCGAGGCAATGAGGGACCCCGAGAATCGGTCCTGTAAATGTACCGACATATCCACCGATATACGTTCGTGTAACCGACCTGCATCTGTCGCAGCGTCCGTCTCCCTCTCTCTGCCGTCTTCCCTCTCTCTTCCTCCCGCCGCCCGGGACATATCAAAAACAATTCCAGCTCATCAGCATCATCGATGTCAGCCCCTTTTCCCCCCTCTATATACATTTTATACTTTTTTTTGCCTCACCGACATTCGCACACGCCATAAATCAATGTTCGATTTTCCCAACAACAACAACAACAACAGCGGCAGAAGGGAAATTCGCAAGGAGAAAGAGACGGGAAGGGCGGAAGAGTGAGACGGCGACAGGCAAGGACACAGGACATTATGTTCGCGCCATGTTTAAAATTCTTTTTTCCCGGTCTGCTGTTTTGCTTCCTTTTTTTGCTTTTCGCTCGCCTGATTTTCAATTCCCGTTTTTGTAATTTTTCATTTTTTTTTGCCCTCAGCGCGTGTTGCATTTCATTTCATCTCATGCGTTACACACATTTCATTGTTGTTGCATTGCTCAATTCCATTTTCACTGTGGCAGCAGCGGTGGAAATGCATTACATTTTCTTTTTTTCGGTGACATGCGGGGCGCCACGAAAAAAAAACAGGGGAATCGGGGCAGGAAAGCGGCCACCGGAGGCCAGGTATTCTTATACTGCCAACCCAAGGAATATTTGTGGTAAATTGAACAGATTTCAGCTGTGCAAGATGCTCAATGAAAAATAGTTCTGAAAATAGCCCAGCGAAAGCGGAAAAGTAAATGGAAAACAAGATAAATACAAAGTATATTAAATAGTCTATCCTAGAATGGGTAAGGCTTAATATACAGGATTAAATACACATCAAATTCCAAGACTTAAATCAAGAAACCAAAATAACAACCCGTATTGAAAACAACTTTCTCCGAGAACCTCATCAAAATAATGCACTGTGACCCCAACGATTTGCGGCAAAACAAAACCCAACTGTCTGCAGCCACAGAAATTATTTATACAAGGCATTTTCGACACTTGCTAAGCTGGAAAAACTTTCGCACCAGCAGCTGTTTCGGAACTTTAAGCAACTTTTAATAGACCTAGAAAAATAAACAAGTACTTGGAACAGAGAAAGTATGATCGGGATAATACCTGCAGTGCATTGAGCGACACCTTCCGTCGAACTGAAACCTCCGCAAAAAGGACAAGTTGAAGTTGGGGGAACGAGAACCAAGTTCGATTTTCGGCTATTTGCGATACTTTTTCCGCTTTGTCGGGGGCCGTAACTTTCGCTTTTCGAGGATAATTGTGGACAGCAGCTCAATGGGAGTTATGGGGCACATGTTCGCTCGATACGGCCGAAGGGAGTTGATATCGCGGAGGGGGTCGGGAAAGGGCTTAGATCCATTGGCCGTGTCAGCAGCACATTTGGCTAAAACCAACTGGACACTCGGTCTATGCTAATTTGTGCAATGGTCAAAACACATTTGCCGACGGAAAATTGTACGGAGATACTTTATCGCTTTTTGTGCCACACTTTACTCCGGGAAAATTATTGCGCTCGAATCTCTCTCGACTCGACGCTGCGAAATTGCCAACTAGAGATGCCTCCAGTTTGTTGGCCGCCTTAGGAGCCAAATACAAAAGTATTTTACGTATTTTCCGCACTTTCTGCTCTTCTCCATCGGCTTCTTCCTCTTATTTGGGAGCGTTTTGGCTGGCGCTCGAAAATGCTTAACAAAGCCCCAAAATGACAACAAAGGGGCGGAGGAGTGGGGTCGAATCAAGGCGTAATAAATTATTATACTTAAGAGAACGGCCCGGGGTCAAGAGAGTGAGCTAAAGAGCCGCAGTGGCCACATAATAATAACGCAATTTTCAACTAGCAATAAACTTTGGGTAAATGACTTCATTGCTGTGGCAACTATAACTTTATGGCTCTTTGATGGCCCCCCATTCCCGGTTAATCCAATCCCAGTTCTCTTAGCTTTTCTCAGCATGCGCAGTTGGTAGGGAAACTCTCTGTCTCTGTGACACCCCCTACAAAATGCCACCATCCTCAGCCATCTCAATGCTGTCGAAAAGTGGAGGCATCCGAAAAAAAAACAATCAAAGCCAGAACAATAACAGCGTGCACGATGGGAGCCAATGGGGATTCGAGTGGGAAAACATATCCCTTATATGGAGACGGCTCCCCAAATTCATGTGAATTAATATTAGTTAAATAATAAATAATATTATTGTTCCTTATACCTTCTTACATACTTTAAAATGGTTTGAATTTATTTTATTGCAAAATCCTCTTAGTTCTAAAAACCTGAATATTTCATATTTTTAGGCTAATGTATATCATAATAATATTTAAGTAAAATATTAATTACACTTCCCAGTCATTAAAAATTCGAAACTTATTTATTGTATAAAAAACTGCTCCTCTAATAATGGTTTCCTTGATAATGCAATCAGAGCTCTGAAATCCATTCAATCCCATTGTCGCTTTCAGAGATTGTCATCGTCACCACGGCCATCATCATCCGCACATTTATTTGGCTTGGAAGTGTGCTGCATGTAAGGGCAGCTAATAAAATTAAAATGCCATATTTCAGCCGTTGATAACAATAAGTGCGCTCAAGATGCCCCTCGGATGCCGCTTTCCTCCTCGTTGCTTACTTGCTGCTGCGTCTGGCGAGTAGGAAATTATTTTTTGGCACGAACACACAAACGTGCGGCCTTGCCACAAAACGTGGGGCGCCGACATGAGGGGTACGACTTCGGTGGGGGCAGGCGGCTGTTGATATGACAAAGCAGTTGAGCTAAAAAAAATACCTGTGGAAAAGAGCCTGCAAGGAATTTTCGTAGATATTGATTTTGGTGTCAACGCCGACGGCGCAATTCTCTCAACCGAAAATTATGAAAATTGAAAATACATTTTGGAAGGGGCCTGCTGAAGTTTTCCTAATTTCCCAGACAAGTGCGATAAGCATCTAGCCAGACAGGAGGAAATGATTTATGCGGACTTGATTTTTATTATTGATTATCCACAAAATACTGGGGGAATTTTCAAATGCACTGAAAGCTTTGTCAGTTTTAAGTGAATGTCCACAGGTGTTAAATGTTGATTTAAAATAAATATCCTTTCAAACAAGGATAAATCGTCGGTATGTTTCTTATACAACTATTGCTCAGATCAGATTTGTTTTGACATAATCAAATAGTATTTTATGAGTTTTTTTTCTGGGTTGCTTGCTTATCTTTAAATGCATGATTATATATTTGGCAAGCTAATCCATTAATATGCCAAGTTTATTTTTTAATGGAAAATATCAGAACGGTTCTCCCCACATACTTTTCCCTTTAGTCATGGCTTGTAATTAAATTAAAATTCCTTTAACATGACAAGCCTGCAAAACAGACACACATACACTGGCTAAAAGGAGTCAACAACAGGCGTCCATGTCCTGGTAATGGAAGTCCTATGTGTCTGTGTGTGTTGACTGCATCTCTTGAGCTCGTTTTGTGCAAACTAAGACACGTTGTCAGCATTCATGTCACTGAAAGGGAGAGGAGAAGGCCGAGTGGGTGGCGAAGAGAGTGGGAGAGTCCTTTCAAGTGGCTTTTGCATGCTGGCCGAAAGATTTTTCATTAAAATTTTCCCTTCCATCACCTAATAGTTTTCCTTTGGCTCAGAAATTCTGCATTCTAAGTAAAAACAAGAAAGGAAGCTAGCTTCGGCAAGCCGAAGCTTATATACCCTTGCAGTTACTAAATATGACGAACAAAATACATACAAGCTAAAGAGCATCGAAGCTATAACGATTTTTCTATTAATTTTCCATATTGTTCATATGAACGCTATATGATATAGTCGTCCGATTTTGATGAAATTTAATTGGTAACTCAAGACTCATTAGAAAACTCTATATTCCAAAAATTATGATTGTCTGATGAAAAACAACGAGGTTATAATTTTATTTCCGTTATTTCTATACAGATTTTTCGATCTTTCCTATGGCAGCTATATGATATAGTACTCCGATTTTTATGAAATTTTTTTTTTTCAACTTAAGAGTATTTAAAAAACTGTATGTTCCAAAAATCATGCTCGTGGCATTAAAAACAACGACATTATAATTTTTTTCCCATTATTTATATATATACTTTTTTATCTCTCCTATGGCAGCTATATGATAGAGTTATCGGATTTTGATAAAATTTAATCCGAAATTTAATAGCAGTTAGAAAACGCCATCTGAAAGGAATCAAGTCGATCTGATCAAAAACAACGGAGTAAGAATTTTATATTTCATTCTCTTGTATGGGAGCTATCCGATATAGTCAGCCGATCCGGCTCGTTCCGACTTATATACTGCGTGCAATAACTACACAACTTTTGGGAAAGTTTCAGCAAGATAGCTTCAAAACTGAGAGACTAGTTTACATAGAAACAGACAGACGGACAGACGGACAGACGGACCGACGGACAGACGGACAGACGGACAGACGTACATACATATTTCAACTCAGATGGTGATGCTGATCAAGAATATATATACTTTATAGGGTCTGAGGTGTCTCCTTCACTGCGTTGCAAACTTCTGACTGAAATTATAATACCCTTTGCTCTGCAAGGGTATAAAAAATGTAACATTTTCCAGTGTCAACTTTCAGAAGCTGAAAATGTTTAAATTTGGGTTTTCAGCAATTTAGTTTCACTACTTGTGGAAACTTTAAGATTTCATTTTATTACAACGTGAAAGTTGTTTTGGTTAGATAACGTATTATAGAAATGAATACTACTAGCAGACTTTCACAAAATGGAGCAGGCAAATTAAATTGTGGCAAAATATTAAATAATGTGGCATATGTTTTCCTTAATAACACTGTGCGACAAAATTTAACGAAATGTTTGTTTGAGTTACTTTTTTGATTGTTTTCGGTTAAGGGGCATAAGTTATGCACAAAAATATTTATGCCACCTTCTAAGTGATAGGATTTCTTTTTTTATGATAAATTTTATGAAATTATTATTATGAAAATATTTAACACAAAATATTATTTTTTTTTTACTTCCAATAAACTATTATTTTTTTTGAAAGTGAAATTTTTTTCTAATTTTTTTTGGCTTTTTCAGAGGTATCCTCGCGTAATAAGTTCCATAGGAAGTCGCCCAGAGTATAGAGCTGGGAGAAAAAAATTTTAAAGCATTGTTATAAAAGCCTAACGGTATATTTGCTTAATATATTTTAATTAATAGATATTGAACTTGCATAAAACGCTTATATCGGTGAAAAAATATTTTCCCAATATGGTATTATAAGGCTGTGAAATATGCAAAAACACGCGTTTTTGGGACCTTTGAGTGTGCGTAGAAGCTGATTGGCTATTGATATTAACAAATCCAAAAACTTGTATTCTTATTTTGACTAGTAGAAGTGAAAAATAAGAAAAAATCAACTCAAACATTTTTTTGTCGCACAGTGTAATCTGTGATTCAATAAAAAACATAAGTTACTTTAAAAAACTTTGCTAAATTCTCGGCCTACTGAGCATATTTAATTAAAATTTTTCCATTTCACTTGCAACGTTTCCCAATCTAAAGACGCACGCGTTGAAATGCTCTTCCCCTTCCGAATTTCGGTAATGGACTTCGCAGCGTTTGGACAGCGTTTAAAGATCGCACTCTCTTTTATCGTCGGGGGCGAAAGCTCCATGATGAGGCTTCAATCCGGCCAGACGCCACCCCCAGTGGATGAGGGACAGGGGGTGGTGGAGGTGGAGGGTCGGTCCGGGGGGAAACACAAAAATCTTTTTACGTCAGTTCTGCTTGTCTTGTTGCCTGGCATTTTCTTGCGTTGTTACCTTCCGAGCGGGAACAGTGCGAAATGCTTGGTTGCGTTGTTGCCCCGAACTCCCCGCTCCGCTCCAGCCCCTCCCATGGCAACAGCCCCCCACCGCCTCCCCCTCGAGTGATGCCAAGTTGGCCGATTCCTGGCCAATTTTACAAAAATTCTTAAGTTCTTAAATTTCTATAGAATATTTTTATAAAATAGAACACACAGCTTACGAAATGCATTAGTAATCATATTTCAATTTCATATTGTATAAGCATAAAAGCTTAAAAATTAAAATTTATATTTGTCAACTCTTTGTTAGTACAACTACATATTTGTTGTATAATCAATACATTAACTTTACCCTTTTTGTTATTTAAAATTCGTGCAGTAAATAATACATTTTTTAGAGCATATTTTTACAAACATTAATGTTGTTTTTTAGTCAAAAATCTAACATTTAGCGATATTTCGAACTTTATTGTACACAACACTGTCTCTTTTCCTTCGGCGACTCGCAAGCAATTTCCTTTAGCGCAGAGTATCCAACGAAAGCGGAGCGGAAAGTTTTTGCGAAAAACGTTAAACGCAATTGTCCGTCCGTCCGTCTGTTCGTCTGTCC